CAATAACAATCACATGTTATATAAATGCTATTGAATCATTATTATCATATAAAGCAGAATGTGATAGATTCAGAATAGAGTTCTAGACAAAGTATTCTAAGAAATTTGGGGAAAGAGATTTCATTTTCAGCTGTAGGGAAAGAAATCCATGAAGCAAGTCAAATGAAATAGGAAATTTAACAGAAAAAGATGAGTGAGAAATGCATTCCACATATGGGGCAAAAGGCATGAATTTTTATGTATTTTGTAAATTATATTGTAGTTATTTAAAATACTCTCGCTAATCTATGAAGAAAGTCAAATGATAAGCATTCCAGTCTGGGTGAAATATAAGATGCAAGGTGGACTACAACTAGAAAGCTAGGTTGGAGCCAGACTCTGTAAGGCCTTGAATGCCAAAATAAAGAGTTTTTACTTTATCGGGTAGGAAATTGGAGTTGTTGGAGGGTTTTTAAGTAGAAGTTCAAAGTTCTAGGATCACCCCCCATACCACTCCATCAGTAATGGCACATAAGTAACCCATTTTACCATTAGAGCTCTGAGTAACATGGTCAGAATGGAAAACCATTACCACGATAGTGATATGAACAATAGACTTTGGTAGGAAGGGTCTGGAGGCTAGATGACCAGCTGGGCAGCTGTTATAATAGTCCAAGCAGGAGGGGAGGAGGACTAGATAAGATGGCTCAAGTGAGAGTGGGAAGGATAAGCAGATCCTGACTCAGAGTCAGAAAGACCTGGGTTTAAGTCTTGACTCTGAATGCCCTGTGTGAGCCTGGGTAAGACATCTTACTTATCATGGCCTCAAGCATCTTATCTTTAAGATTGTTGATTTCAGCAGAGGAACCAATCTGCATTAGCACAGTAGAGGGAGTTTTTTCACTGGGAATTATCTACATAAATTAAATCAAAGGTCCAGGCCAATATTAAAAAGCCACATATTCTCCCAGCAAGACAATGAAATAACCAAAATGGGCCTCTATTTATTTATCAAGATTTCAGAATATTTAATGATCAATATTCAGATCCTCATTTTTACCAATGAAGGAAACAGACCTTTTCAGAGCTTGTAAATTGTTGGATTATTGGCCAAGTTCTTTCACTTCCCTGGGCTTTGTGTCCTGTGAGGAGAGAGAGAGAGACAGAAGAGAGAGAGAGAGAGAGAGAGAGAGAGAGAGAAGAGAGAGAGAGTGCATGAGCCATTTAGTGAAATCTGGCCCCATAACTTGCCACTCCTATGCTCTGTCCCTTAGGAGCTTCACATGAGGTATATCATGGGTGGCCTAGAGTGGAAAAACCCAGAATACAGTGACTCAGGAAGGGTGATTTGGCAGGAGCTTTTGAAATTGCTTCAGTTGTTGTGTCTGTGAGTTGTGAGGAGCTATCAATGCTTTCTTACCCCATCCTGCCCTGTGCACAGAGCATCTGTAAGATGGATAGAGTGAAGGAATAAGGGCTGCTGTCAAGAAAATGCCTTTTCTTCTTTCCTTTCTCCAAAGCTAACTACAGTCCTCCTAAGGAATGGACCATTAACAGCATGGTTCCACCAATGTTAAATGTCTCTGTCATTAGCAAAAAATTTTCTTCCAGTTTTCTGCTTGGTGAAAATAGCCTCTCTGGGAAAAAAGACTGCATGTATGTACCTGTGAAGGCATGTATGTATGCCTGTGTACATGTGTGTACATGTGTCTCTGTGTGTATGCATGTGTGTTTATGTATGTGTGGGGGAGGCATAGGGTGGTGGTGAGTGTACATTAATCCTGAATTCAAATCCATTTGAATCCATTCAAATCTGCCATTTACTGCTCGTGTGACCTTGGCTGAATTATTTCACCAGTTTCCTCATCTTTAAGACCCCTACTAGCTCCAAATCCCATGATGCAGGTTGGCAGCTGTTTGAGGCTTGGTGGGGTGTTCCTAATACAATGAAAAAAAACCTTTTGCATATTAATCCACTACTCCATGAGACTGTCTTTGTGAACTCAGATAAGCTCTTCATAGTAAGAAATGAAGAGAGGAATTGGAGGGGATGACAGGAGAGCCAGAAGGCAGCCCCATTTCAAGTTCTTCCTATTCTTCCACCAAGTCCTGACTGCCAAGAGCTTCCCTGGTTGCATTCTTGATGCAAAAAGGAAAAGGGCAATATTTTTGCTGCCTGAATTAAAGTAGCTGGAAGAAACTTCTGGCCTCAGAATTGTAAGGAATTTAGGGAAAGACTTTGCTTTGGCTCAAGTTCAAAGAGCGTGTCTTGTGAGCTATGATTACGTTTGAATATGCTCCTGGGAACCTATCGGGTTCTGGAGTAGCTTCTTGGTTCTGGATATTCTTTGGTTCTAGGCTATACATTCAAGTCCATTCTTGGAAGGAAAGAAGGGAAGGAGGGAAGGAAGAAAGGAAAGGAGAGAAGATGGGAGGAAAGAAGAATTGAAAGAAGGATGAAAGTAGGGAAGGAAGGAAGAAGGGAGAAAAGAGGGAAGGGAGGAAGGAAGGAAGGAAAGAAGGAAGGAGAGAAAGAAGGAAGCATTTATTAAATGCCTATTTTGTTGCAAGCACAGAGCTAAGTGCTTTACAAATATTACCTCATTTGATCCTCACAACAACCCTGAGAGGTAGATACTATTATTACTCACCCCCAACCATTTTATAGTTGAGGAAACTGAGTCAGAGAGAGGTTAAATGACTTGCCTCCAGTCACACAGCTAGTAAGTGTTTGAGGCAGGATTTGGGCTCATCTTCTTTCTAGGTCATCACTCTGCCGCCTGGCTGCTTCTAGGCAGCTCTGTATTTAAAGTCAAAAATGTCTGTGACTTGATAACTACGTGACCTCGAGTAAATCACTCCCCCTTTCTCAGAATCATTTCTCTCATCTATAAAATGAATGGGGTGGACTAAGGTGACTATCATTTCTCCTTCTTCATGATCCCATAGTTCCTCAGGCCCTTGCTTATACTTAGAAAGAGCAGATGCATCTGACCAGCAGATTGTTGAAGTTTGTCCTGACCCGACCCACTAGGATTTTTAATAGCCTCAGGTGGTAGGAAATCTGTATTGTAATGCTTTGGATCAGGGAGCTCCAAGTCTAGTTTATGATACCCCTGCCTCACCAGCTCTGGCTAGCTCATGAGAGCTGATTATAAAATTTCCAGTGTGAGTATTTACATCTCAGCTGTCAATAGATTCTACAAATCAGAGCTTGATTTATTGTTTTTGTTAATTATCTAGATTTAAGAAAATTATGTTAAAAATAATTTGTACTTCAGTTGTTTCATTTGTGTCTGAATCTTCGTGACCCTGTTTGGAGTTTTCTTGGCAGAGATACTGGAGTGATTTGCCATTTTCTTCTCCAGCTCATTTTATAGATAAGTAAACTGGGTTAAATGACCCACCCAGGGTCACACACCTAGTAAGTATCTGAGGCCAGATTTGCACTTGGGAAGATTAATCTTCCTGCCTCTGGGCCCAATGCTCTATCCACTGTGTCACATAGCTGCCCTTAAAAATATGGAATAAACTTAAAAATGTGTTGTGTTTCTATTTTTTCAAAGAGCTGATTGTTAAACTTTAATTAGCACATCCCTTTCCCTGTGTGTTACCAATTATTTTGAGGAGTGTTGGACAATTCCCAAAAAAACTTCTGGAAGGGGAGTATTGTGAAAGAAAACCAACAACAATCAGCTGTCTTGCATCCAAAATGGTTAGCAATTGCTGGCCTGAGGGATGGTTTCCAAATGTGTGCGCAATAATGCATGTGTATGTATGTTTGTCTGCAGAGAATGTTGCTGATTCCGAAGCAAGCATCCTATTTCTCAGAGTTTTTTTGTGGTTCTCTTTCTCTTCATGTCTCTCCCTGTTCTCTAATCCTCTGAATGGAGCTGGATATAGGGAGGAGAGCCATGGGAAGAGAAGCCAGGCAGAAAAGCGCATCCCAGACTTGGACATGAGTGATGTGGTTTAGCTGGGCGGCTGGTTGGCTGGCACAACACACTTGCCACCATTCCCCCTGGTTTTTCCATCTCCACACAATATTCCTTCCTTGCTTCAGTGTAAGTTCCAGGGCTGATGTTGTCTGGAACTAACTTAGCCTGTGTCTCATGATGAGCACCTCCTCCTATCCTTCTTCCCTCCCTCTCTCTCCTCTTCCATCCCTCTTTCCCTCCCTCCCTTTCCTTCCTTCTTTCCTTCCTCCCTTCCTCCTTCCTTTCTTTCCTTCCTACCTTCTCTTTTTCTTTCCCTCCCTTCCCACTCTGTCTCTATCTTTCTGTGCCTCTGTCTCTGTCTCTCCCTCTCTCTGTTCAGCTCTCTTTGATGTGTTGTCTTCCTGCATTAGAATTTAAATTTCTTGAGGGCAGGGACTATCTTTGTTTGTTTGTTTTTGGCTTTTATTTGTATCCTCAGTACTTAGTACAGTGCCTAGCACGTAGTAATCACTTCATAAATGCTTGCTGTCTTGTTGATCATTATTAGAACATTTTATCATGCCTTTTGCACAAGAAGCTCTTTCTGCCCCTTCCACCAGGGCTGAGTGTCGTTATCTCATAAACCTAGATTAATGATTGGACCTTATATTGAGAAAGGGCATTGGATTTGAAATTTAAAAAACTGGGTTCAAACACAGGCTCTGTTACTAATTAGCTGTGTGTTTAAATCCTAGGCAAGTTATATTCACTTCTCTGTGTCCCCATTTCCTCAGTTATAAAATAGTGGGGTTGGACGAGATGATTTCCAAGGTTCTAGTTCTAGATTCTATGGCCCCTACCTGGAGTTAAGAGGTTGTACTGTTGCAGCATCAGGTACCTTGAATTTTCAGAGCTCTGGTATTAGGCAGCAGAGCAGCTGGCCAGCTCTTATTCAAATTTAGTGTGTATTTGTTAAGTACCTACTATCTTCAGAGTCCTGTGGTAGGCACTGGGAATTCAAGTACAAAGATGAATCTTTGTACATAGTTAATGCTTAATATTTTCATTCATTCATCCAAAGAGCTTACATTTTTTTTCCTTCAGCTTCTTTCTCTGCTTATCTCCAAATCTCCCAAGCCAGGACAACAATGCAGTATGAAGAGGACTTCAGAGTTAGGTCATGCAAGGTATTTTGTAGAAAAAAAATTGTGATGACAATTATTTTTGCCTGGTTGGGGAAGTCATGGGGAAGGGTCTAAGAGTATTATCAAAAGAGATCACTTCCCACCCTAACCAACACTTCCACCTGGGTCTTGATTTAAATAAAGATGTCTAGAAACCTTAAATCTAATCCACAATAGTGGCAATCTCACAGCTAAATGGGAAAGAGTCCTGGATTTTCAGGACACCTGGGTTATAACTGCAGTGTCCCTACTGACTCATTCTAAGATATTGTAGAAGGCGTGTCAGCCCTCGGTTCACTCAGTTTTACCATTTGTAAAATGGGGTAACAATACTTGCTGCAACCTACTTCAAAAGGATGTTTTGATGCCCAACACTACATAAATGTTAGTTACTATTGTTATCATTATTTTTCTGATAACTTCAAGAGTTTCCACTTCCTTGAATTAAAAGCATTCCAGAAATTCTAAATATTCATCATTATTCTCTGTCCCCAAGATCAGAGGTCAAAGAGTTATAAATCTTCCCCAAGGAAGCCCTCGTGGAGGGTTTTACTTCTTAGTGGAAGAATTTGACTCCTTTCACCTACTGGAGCAAGCATTGGGGGATTTTCTCCCTTCCCAGATTTCAGAGGTTCCTAGAAGTGGAGAATCAGGGTGTTTTTAGTATCAGAAGTTATGACAACAGCGTGTTATTGACCTACCACACAATAACAATAATGAGAAGTGATAGAGACAACAACAAAGAGGATGACATGGGAACCTAGCAATGCTTCCTCAAGGGGTCCCAAGAGCTTTCTCATCAAAAATGCTGTAATAGCCTTGTCTTCCCAGTATAACACACACACACACACACACACACACACACACACACACACACACGAAAACATACATTCTTTGTAAGACTATACATTGTATTGGCCACTTGCCATCCAGTCAAGCCAAAAATTGTGGAACAAAAGGAATCGGTGCCCAGAATATCAGCTAAAAATACCCTATTTCCCCCCTGCTCTTTTGTCTGCTGGGTATGGTTAGGAGGGTCCCAGGAGGGTAATGATGATGAAGGGAAAGGAAAACTGACATTTTCAAAGGAAACTAAATCTTTAGCCCCCTGAAAAGAAAATACATTTTCTGCATGTCTGTTTTATGTTTCATACCATTTTTTGTATGTTTGTGCGACAATAGGGAAAGACTATATTATGTGTTGTGTCACCTCATCCATGGGCCATTAGAATCCAGGGTTTCCTGGAATTCTTAAACTCTTTGAACTTGTTAATAGGCAGTCTTCTGGATGTTGGCAGGGGGGAGGTATAGGAAAGAAGAAAAAAGAGATCCTATGCAGGAGGAACAGGAGTGGTTTATGCACACACATGTACATGCATATGGACATAAACATAGACTCATTGTTTATTAACTCCTTTGGTTGGAACATGGCACTGAAGTTAGAGATTCCTATCTTTGTATAGACCAGTTGCCTTTACATGTTTTCATAGTCTATGGCCACTAACTGAAGCTCTAGCTTCCAGCTCACCATCTTGTAAATACATGCATTGGTCTGCCCATCCAGATATCTAGAGAAAGGGGTCAAAGCTCCTGCCCTATTGATGGTGGCCAGCAGTAGCAGCATTAAACAGGCTACTAAGAATGATGCATGGAGAACAATGGACTTGAGAGGCAGGACAACTAGGCTCTAATTCTGGCTGCTATATGATTTGGGGGTGATTTGATTTAACTCCCTAGGTGTAATTTTCTGTATATGACAGTATTTTTTTTCCTCATTATAAAATTCTGGGTCACATGGGAAAAATGATCTGTTTACCAGATAATATTGGAATAAGTTAAATAATGGCTGTTGGCACGAGCAGGGCACTAGTTGATTTTCTGAACATACATTAGACTTTTAGCAGAGAATGTGGCTAATGTCAACATTAGTTGGCTAATGTCAATGTTTTCCTTGGTTTGGACTAGCTATAATTGCCCAAATGAAGGGAGGTCTCTATTTCTGTTTGAGTTGAAACATCTCAACGTTTCAAGTTTGTCTGTCTTTCTTTCCCATGATGAACTGTGAAAGAGGTGACAGCGTTTGGCTAAAAGTGGTACACAAAAAAGCTATACAGATTCATCTGAAGTTAATGTTATCATTTAATCTGCTGAATTGAATTAAATAGGCATAGTATAAGAGTTTTTAATGGGCATATATTCTTTATGATTATGGATTACTATAACGTTTTGTATATGAGTAGAATAACATATGAAAATCAATGATTTTAAAGACAGAATAAAATTCAGCCCACTACTTTAAAACAAATCGGCCATAATTTACTTTAAATGCACTTGCTAAAAATCATGGTTTTACTTTTGTTGGCCGATGGGTGAAATTCATCACTTTGCTCCTGAGCAAGGTCTAATGCTCCCAAAACGACCAGTACAGGGACGGACACGCAGGCATTATGCAAACCAGATCTGTCACCCACTCCTTCAATCCCATTGTATATCCTTGCTTGTATACAGTCCACCAAGATCCACAGGAGAGAGGATTTTCTGCCAGCTACCTATTGTTCTCCATTTTCTCACCATTATGGAGTCATGAAGCTCTGCCCGCCATAGAAGATACTGCCCCTTCTATTGTCCCTACAGACTTTCCCACCACTTCCAGGACTGAACACATTATGAGAGTGTTGGCTCAGCCTCAAGGACAAGGACCTTATGAGATCTGAAAAACTTGCATGATGTCTCTGACCAGAAGGGATGTTTTCAGTGGCCCCAAGTCTTTTGTGTCCTCTTCTCCTGCCCTTTCTCCTCCACGTGCAGTAACTACGTGGCCTCTCAGACTCCCAGCAGCAGATTTCTCTGATCGACAGCTTTGGCCTATAGCCAGTACTTGATTGTGTCTGGATGATCTTAGCTGTCAATGACAGGTGGATGTTGAGTGGATGAGTGTTGTTATATGGCCCCCTAGTGGAGAGGGTGGAAATAATTTGCTGGCAAATCAAAACTCCCCATTCTAGAATTCTAGCATGTTTGAATCGTAAAATGTTAATGTTTTGAGAGACCTATGTGTTCATATTGTCCAATCCATTAATTTTTTTCAGATAAGCAAACTGAGTCTCAGATAGGAGAAATAACCTTCCTGAAGTCACACAATGAATTGGTGGAAGAACAAGGCCTGGAACGCAGGTCTTCTAATTCCCAACCAATTAAAGTCAACAAATACAAGTGCCTATGAATGCCATACATTGCGCTCGGGACTGGAGATATAAATTTTAAAAAAGAATGACACGGTTTTTGTCTTCATGGAGATTGCAACTAGTACAACTCTTTTTCAAGAATCTTTTATTTTTCTTTCTTACTTCATAGAATTTCTGATCTGCGATGAAACTTGGAGATTATCTAGTCAAATCCCTCTAATTACAGTACAATCTCACAACATAGTTTGTTGTAGTTGTAGATAAGCTTTTTAGGATTTAGAGTAGCCAGTGGTGCTAAATGGCACTCATTGAAGCTACTAGGTGCTTTTTGATAAACTGTAGGCAGTAGAAAGCAAAGAAAGGAAGATGATAAACAAAACGTGAAAGAGATTCTGAGAGGAAGTTTGTATTAATAGAAGCATAGTGTTCAGAACAAGGACATTGTATTGTGCACTGTTACAGACCAGATCCATAGTCTTTTATCCAGTTATGGGTGCTGCATTTTGGAAAGGACATTGACCATCTAGAGCTTTTGGCTTGAAGAAATGAATGATGAGAATGGCTTGGGGATGTGAAAGAGTACCACATGAAGGGCATTTGAAGCAATGAGGAATGTTCAGGCTGGAGAGGAGAACACTTGGGTGTATGGGGTTGGGGGATGGTTTACAAAATAGCTTTCTAAGAACCATCATTTGAAAGAGGGACTAGACTTATTTTTCTAAACTTTGGGGGCAGAACTATCATAAAATTTAGAGATACAAGGGTTCTTGGAAGTCATCTAGTCCAATAGTCTTGTTTCATATGATAAGGAAATTGAGAATCAGAGGGCTTAGGTGATTTGCTTAAGGTTATTCAGGAAGTTAGTTGCAAAAGATAGATGGGGGGAGGTTTTGGAGAGGCAAATTTTGACTCAACATAAAGACTGCCACCAATAATTGACTCAATTACTTACTGCTCACTAGGAGCCAACCCCTTATCTACTCCAGTTGAAGTGGTATAGGATTGGTCTTAACCAATGGGGGAAAGTCTTAAATGTTGATTCATCAAGATATTAAGAGGCACCATGGAGAGAACGTTGGATCTAGAGTTTAGAAAACATAAGTTCAAATCCAGACTCAAACAGTAACTGTGTGTGACCCTGAGCAAATTGCTTAAGCTCTGTCTGCTTCAGTTTCCTCATCTGTACAATGGGGTTAATAATAGCACCTATGTGACAGGGTTGTGAAGATCAAAAATTAGATTATATTTGTAAGGTGCTTCACAAATCTTAAAGCATTATATAAATGCCAGCTATCATTATGAAGAAAGCAATAATTTATTTGGAGCTATGTTTCTTAACCTGAGGCTTTAGGGTGAATTTACAAAGAGGTCCCAGAACTCAGAACCAGGTGGTTTTGAACATTCGTTTGATATTAGTGAGCCCAATGGATAAAGAGCCAGGCCTGGAGTTAGAAAGACCTGAGTTTGAATTAGGCCTCAGATACTTACTCTCGTGTGACCCTGGGCGAATCACCTAACCTCTATTTGCCTCAGTTTCCTCATCTGTAAAATGGGGATAATAATAGTACCTACCTCCCAGGATTACTGTGAAGATCAAACGAGATAATCATTGTAAAGTACTTAGCACAGTGTCTCACACATAGTAGGTGCTCTATAAATACAGTTGTTCTTGTTACTATGGTTGCTAGTTCTGAACAACTGTAAGTTACATAATAGTCTGAGTCGGACTTCATGTCCTGGGTTCTGTCCCTCTGATACTCTCTCCCAGATTTTCTGGGCCGTGCTGTCAATAGGGAGGCAGGAACTGCAAACCGCTAAGCAGCTTTTTGCTGGTGATACTATCTATCAGACAACGAAATTGGTCATGTGAGTATTGCACCTTCTCTGAGGACACTCTCCCAACTGGGTACTCCCACTCCCATGCAGTGAGGACGTAGCTTATAGCTCCTACTCTGAGTGTTCGCTCAGCGAAATCTGAGGGGCTGGGGCTTCTGATACTGTTAATCTTGATCCCCCATCAATGTGCTCCCCATGATCGATCAACCAGTTGAATTCTATTAGCTTTTAAATAGAGGGATTTATTGAGAAGGTACAGAATGAGCAATTGGTGTGAAACACTGAAAAACATTAAGGCAGCTAGATGATAAAGCAGTTAAAGTGCCGGTCTTGGAGACATTGCCTTAACTTTGTAATCCTGGGTAAGTCACTTAATCTTTCTCAGCCTTGGTTTCCTCATCTGTGAAATGGGGATAATAATATCTCACAGGGTTACTGTGGGAATCAAATGAGATATTACATATAAACATCTTGCAAATCTTAAAGCACTATATAAATGCGAATCATTATTATTAATCTTCATTCCTCCCAAATCAGGATTTCCCCTTGTACTCAATAAGGTCCCTAGAGAGGGTGGGCTCAAATTAAGGCACAATGGTCTCACGGCATATGTGTAGAGCAGAGGTGTCAAACTCATGGGCTGTGACCCATAGAACTCTAAATTGTATCTTGATCCAGATTAAAATGTAATTGAGAAATAATTCACAAAATTAATAGAAATAGAATACCATATAAATAACACAAATCTTTGGTTTCCTAAGTCAATATGTGGCCCCCAGGGATCCCTTTCTATTTCAGCTTTACACCACTGGGGTAGAGGACAAGTGTGGCCCAGGGGCACTTCCCAACCCCTGGCCATAGGTGGCCTTTTTTTCCTATCAAGGAGCCCTTACAATATTACCCTGAAGTGAAGCTCTCTGTTGGGCAAGTCAGCCACTGCTGCGCTAGGCTGAGCACATCAGCTACTGGGCTAAGTCTCTCAGATGGCACCCTGTAGTCTCTCCAGACTTTGCAATGCCTAATAAGGTTTCTGGCTGGACACGTCCACCTCTAGATTGGTACATTGTCACCATCTTGACTCCTATGGCTACTGCTACTAGGTCCAGTGAATTCTGTTCCTGATCTGATGGGACCTCAGGACCTCCTAAACTCACTAGGTCAGCCTGCTACTCCCATCTTGGAGTACACATGTGCCTAAGATCAGGAAAGTATAAACACAAAAGTATCAGTGGAGACATGTGCCCAAGTACATCTAGTGATCAGTTAGGAGAATGTAGACAGCTGCTCCTCTCCCACTAAGAGCTCAAAGTAGCTCTCCCTTGATGGAAGCAACAAAGGAAACAGCCTAGAGATGGCCATGTACCTTTTGTATTTATACTCAGTAGTAGATCAATGCCTCCTGTGCCATTGATTCTACAATCAATTAGAAGACTTCCTCATCACATAGTACTAACCCTTCAGTCATTCCTCACCAGAAACCATCCCATCAAATGTTTACATGATTGGATTGGAAGCTGACAGAGAATATATGTACATGCTTCACATACTGGCTCTTATAGGTCAATCTACCTATGCTACATGAGTATGTTGGATTCTGTCGAGCCTTCCATAGTATCTGGTTTAAGGAGCTTGATATCCATTCTAGAAGGCTACTCCATGGTGGTGGGGTGGTTGTTTCATTTTCTTCCCACAGTGCATAAAATGTTAAATCTGAAAGGGACCAAAGACTTGATCTGGTCCAACTTCCTCCTCTTATAGGTAAGAAAACAGTTCTTAAGATAAGTACAGCTGGAGTTTGCCACCTTCGATACCTCTAGCAGTCTGGTGAAGCCTATGGACTCCTTGGAATGACACTTTAAAATAACTGAAGGAAATGTTAAATTTCAGTAAAAGGTTATTAGAAATAGAGATATAACAGTTTTCCCACCCAAGTTCACAGTTCCATGAAATCTAACCAAGGACCCTTTGGGGAATCTGTGGAGCCCAATTTAAGAACCCCTGAGATAGCATGACTTCCCAAGGCTATTCTGCTATGTCATGGCAGATCTGGGCTTAGAAATTGACTCTTGCCACTTGAAGTCCAGTACTACTTTGAAATACAGGATGCTCACAAAAATGGTGACCACTCCTATATCTTTGCAAATTGGGATTTGAGAGAAATGCCAGCCAGCCAGCCAGCCAGCCAGCGCCCACTCCTTTGGCCTCAACAACTCCTTGGCATAGAAAGCAGGAAGGGAATCCCTTGTAAAACAATTGTGGGCAGAAGAAATTCTAGGGATAAAAGGAGAGTTTCTTGCTACTCCGAAGGAGCTCAGAATATTGGTAAGCCGTGTTTGGCTTTTTAAGGTACTGCCAGTCTGCCGGGCTCTGTACCCACAGTGAAGTTTCATTAACATTCAAAGGGGGAAGTCACGGTGGAAGAAACCACTCAGGGCACACGCAAAGACAGGCTGTGTTTTAATTATGACTTGGACTTTTGAACAAATCTTTTCCTCTGCTTGGCTGAGCCTTAGAGAAAACAACTGATGGGAGGCCTGTATTCAGCAGCTGGATCCACAGTGGTACCATACAGCTGTGTACACATCTGGCAAACAGGTGTTGAAATGCATATTCCTTCCCTCCTTGGATCAATAATGGGGTTGGTGGTTGCTGGTGGTAGAAAGGTAAATTGTCTGTGGGCCTGGTCTGGGCACAGAAAGGAGAAGCTGATGGCCCTAGAGAAAGTGAAATGGTCCCTCCTAAGGCAGCAATTCCCACTCTTGTCACTACTATTTCAGGACATGAGCTGGGTTCCCTCCTGATCCTTCCTCCTGTCACTCTTGAGTCAATATGGCATGCTCTTTTGTTGGGCTACCCCCATTCAAATCCCCCTCTCCAGCTTGGGGGAAGTCATAGGCTTGGGGGTTGGAGAAGGGGGAGGAGGAGATTAACAGGCTTGAAGTTGGACAGGCACAGATGCTCCCACCTGCTGCTGTCGATTCTCAAATGCTTGTTGACCCTCTGGGAGCGTTTGTCCTGAGTCTGTTTCACAGTTCATTCCAGGGGAAGGGGAGGAGAAGGAGGGCACAGGGACAAAGGGACTTTGCCGTCTCCTAGAAGGCGTTTGATTAGTTTGCTCAGGTTGGCAAACAACTGCAGGCTCAACACACAAGAGAATGTGTGTGTGTGTGTGTGTGTGTGTGTGTGTGTGTGTGTGTGTACATGTGTGCACTGGTCC